TGAGTACAAAGGTTAAAAGACAAAAGTAGTAAAATAACTACACTAACTAGTTAAGGGATACACAGGATTAGAAGATGTCAACTGTGGCATCAAAAAAGTATGTGGAGCTTTAGATGTTTCAATAGACCATTATAAAAAAGTTGTTATACGTAAGACTCGTGGTGACCACAAAGCAAAAAGCTACAGTGTATACGCAAAAGATACAGGAATCTAAGCATACCACTAAAGACAGTCATCAAACCACATAGGAAGAAAGAAAAAGATAGTAACAGAGGAACTAAGAAACAGCCAAAAACCAAGGCTTTAAATGAACTGAATTCTCTAATCAAAAGACTTGAGTAGTTAAATAGATTTCTTTTTAAAAAGTAAGACCTAGCTATGTGCTTTCTCCAAGAGTCTCACTTCAGACGTAAGGACCTACACAAAGTGAAAGTGAAGGAATGGAAAACTACATTCCATGCCAACGGAAACGAGAAGTTGGATAGCTATTTTTTTGTAATTATTGATTTTTATTTTCTATTTAATGACAAAGGTTAAATTTAGCAGCAAAACTTTGACACATACATACACGTTATATTAGTGTGTGTACATATAGTTTTTCCTAATATTTTTGAACAGCTATTCTTAGATAAAGTAGACTTTAAAACAAAGACTAAATGAGATAAAGGCAACACAAGAGGAATATTTGCTTTATATATATTTATAAATATACAAATATATATAACTTTATTTTTTATATTTATAGTAATATGTTATAAATAGTATATATATATATAAAGCAAATATTAACAGACCAGACCTAAACGGAGAAATAGACAGGACAATAATAGTAGGAGACTAATACCCAGCTTACAACAATAGATAGATCATCCCAACAGCAAAATCAATTAAAAAATAGCCTTAAACACATTAAAACAGATGGACCTAAACAGATATACACAGAATATTCCATCCAAAAGCAACAGAAATATGTATTCTTCATGTGCACATGGAGCATTCTCTGGGATGGATCATGTGAGGCCATAAAACAAGTCTTAATAAGTTTAGAAAGATTATTGAAGTTATATCAAG